TGGTGGCTTGAAAACCACATGTACATTTAATACCCAAAATTCCAGGAAGAGAGTAAAGGAAAAAAGATTATTTCTGTTTTATACATAGTTTCATATAACTTATGTCATTTATCCTCTTTTTTTCTATATTTTTTCTTGTTCTTACATCTTCTTTCTAAAATAGAAGTGGATGAATATTTTGAAACAGATCATATTTTATTCTTTGACCAAGGTGAATATTAATACAGATTAAAGGTTGTCATCCTTGACACTGTTGATGTTTGGGTCAGATAATTCTTTATCATGAAGGAGTTTTGCAGACCCCGTAGCAGCACCCCTGGGCCCCACCCACTGCATGCTAATTGTAAGTTCTGCCTCTCCCAGTTGTGAAACCAGACCTTACAGATGCTGCCAAATGTCGCCCTCCTGAGGGACAGAACTGACCCTCAGGTAAAACTGTTGGTAGAGACGGTGGTTAAGTGCCTCCTGGAAATTGGTTCTTTATGTTTTAGGCACTACGAAGAAAATGGACACATTTTAAGAACTGACTCAATATTTGTTTAATTTTTATATTAGTACCTGTTGTATACAAAAAGTATATCCTGCATATTGAGAGACCCCTAGATTTTTATATTAAAACAGATAGTTGTGGTTATGAAATTATGCCTACAGATACATCTTTTGTGATGTACAGAAGGTGGAATCACTACTGCATCACCCAGTCAGCATAAATATTGCAAAGAAAAATGACCCTGGGAGTTTTCATCTTTGTATGTGTTACTTCAGGAATATCATACAATTTTTTTTCTGAACATTTTTACTATAAGCTTGATTAACTACAAAATATTTCCTTTGTCATTAGTTATATAATTTATTTTAAACTAGGATCAATTTAAATATATACTTTCCTTTGGTTAATTTTACATTTTTCTTATTTTAAAAAGAAATGAAATTTTTTTGCCATAGGGCACGTGCACTCACTGGAGAGAGAAAGAGAGGCAGTGAGAGAAAAAGTGAATAATCGTCCCCTGAGGAGATGGCCACACTGTGATCCCTTCTCCTCCATTCTCCTTTCAGGATTTTGGCCACACACACCAGGTAGGCTTTTCAAGCCATCAGGTCTGGGATGTGAACTATTGTCCACCATGTGAGAGCCCAGCCCCTTAATCACCGAACTACCTGCTGGCCTCAAGGAGTTTTTGCATATTTTTGATTTTACTGAAGTTAGAAATTAATGCAAACTGTATAATGACACTAGGATCAGTTTGTCGAGTCAGATTTACACAAATCAAATCTCTTCTCTAGAGCCTAAAGTTACCAGTAATTTCAAGAAACAAGAAATCAGTAGGCTGTGGTATGAGGCCTAAAAGCAAGGCCTGGTGTCATGTGTGCACAGACACCTGAGAAAAGCCAAGAGGCTCTCAAATGGCTACCTGCCAGCTCCCCTCCTACCCTGCCCCCCAGATAAGGGGATAAGGAGGTAATACAACACCTTCCCCTGTCAGGCACCAGACTCAGTTCCCACTGGTCCCTGAGTAGTGGGCTTCTGACTTCGGTTCCCTGACGCCCTGCAAAACTGTCATACAAGCCAATGATATCCTCCTCTTGGAGCTGAGGTACACAGCCTGCCTCCCACAGTCCTGGTCCCTCTCTCTGTTTCCAAGTGCACCCCAACATGACCATGCAAGGTGTAGGGCATCTTCCCCCTCAAGGCTGTGAGTTCATTTGGCAATACACAGCTGCTGGTCTCCTCTGCCCTGTCATGTGCCAAGTGTTGGCCATCCCCATAACCCAGGGCGAGAATCTCCCTCACCAATAGAGTAAACTGGAAGTGGTTAAAATACAGGGACAAGCAAAGCAGGGGAGGGCCAGTACACACGCGTAGTTCCTGCTTTGGATGAGCATTCTGGCCTGGGGTTCTAAAGGAAGGTCTCTAATAAATAGGCAGTTTATCACCTCACACTGAAGCATTTAGATGAGAAGTACCTCCAATGAATGGCTCAGTGGTCACCTGGCTTATAAGTTGTTTTCCAGGCAGCCATGATGGTGAATCCAGACGCTAAATGTGTTTTCTTTTTCTTTTCTTCTTCTTTTTTTTTTTTGGAGAGGATTTTGCTATAGGGCGCCTGCGCTTGCCAGACAGACAGAGACAGACATAGAGACAGAAAGCGAGAAATCACCCCCCAAGGGGGATGGCCACACTGCAATCCCTTCTCTTCCATTCTCCTCTTGGAATCTTGGGCACGCACGCACACGCGCTCGGCGTGAGTTTTAAGCCACCGGGTCCGGGACCCTAACCGCAGTCAACTACGTGGGAGTCCTGCGACATAGCCATTACGCTAACTGCTGGTCCCCAGACCCTGAATGTGTTTAACACAAGCAACCTAAAACATCCTGCTCAATACATTCCACAGATAATGACTTCAATTCTAGGATTTTGGGGATACTTGGGCATACACTACTATTCAGAATTTTTACAAAGAAATTGCTTCAGGTCACTTGCCTTCTTTCTTCCAAAACAAGCATGAAAGGCTGGAAAGACTAATATGAGACTATTCATGAGAAAATACATTCCATGTAGAAATGCAAAAAATATACTTAAGAACATTGTGGTAATTCTTTTCAAGCCTAATTACAAAAGATTTGATATTATTCTACTATGAATAAAGTTATTTAATGTTTTAAATGACTAATTTCTAATTCAAGTCATTTAGATCGCTTGAAACTTTGAAAGTCAGCATACTAACTAGTTATTATATTGTTGCTTTTAATTCATAAGGGTGATAACTGCCATCTTAAATATTTGTTCTTCTCTTCCTAGCTAAGCTAAATTAAATAGGTGATAATTAAGACTAACAACTCAAGAATAAAGCTAATAAAAGAATATCTTATATATTTGCAGTGTTTTAAATTTTACATCTTCTCTCACATTAAACAGGGGTTTAAGTGAAATGCTGATGAACCGTATAACTGTAACTCAGACTTTAACACTCTTTGAAATCACCTGACATAAATAAGGATTATCTTATGCATAAAGGTAGCTACAAGATCTCAGGAGGAAAGAAGACCTGAGGAGATGTACTGAGATTGATAAACTTTTTGCACCAAGATACTGTGAGAGACCGAGTTGTGTTTATTTGCACGCTAACCTTTGATGAGCGCAATCTGAAGACCACTCATTGAAACTTTTCTATTCAACATGTGGAACGTGCAATACTATTGAGATATTTTTCTTGCTGAATATCTCCTTTTCTATGATCTAATAGTGAAAATTGTTGTGCTAGACAATTTTTAAAGTCATTATAACCTACAAAATAATACATTCTGTGGGCCACCACGATAACTATAGGAGGGCCTTGTGGGTAGGGAAGGAGAAAAGAATTAACCAGAAGAAAGAATGTGTATCAGCTCTCAGAGAAGAATCTACATTCTGGATTGTTAGGCAGGATTTCTAGGTCTGCAATTAACTCACTTATGCAAATACCATAGCCCTGTGGGTTTTGGTTTCCTCATTAGTAAAATAAGGGATTGAGCTGGAAGGTCTCTTGGGAACTTTCCAGCTTTAAGGGTCTTGTAGAGTACACACATAGCTCCCCTTTGTATTAATCAAAATATCTTATTTATGAAACATGCTGAAGCATAGTTCTCTTTCATTATTTTATTCTCATCTTCAGTCAATTACCATAATGTCTGTGTATACTTTTGTTTTAATAGGTTTACATCTCCTAGAAAATTATTTCATGAAAATAATTTTGGACTAATGTGTACAATAAAAATCATATCCCCTCTATTCCACAATAGAAGTATATCATTATTTATAATTTGGAACTGCAAACATGGGTTTAATTAATCTTACATTATTGTCTACTGGTAATTTAAGTTTCCTATTATTTAATCAACCCTGTTGATTTCATATGTCAACTTAACTTTGAAAGTACTAGAGCGTATATTTAAATTTAGATCTTGTAGTAAGTAACTGGATATGAATCCCAGACTAAATCAGGCATACCGAGTAGTTCTCCAACATATGACCTTGTTGCCATTTGTAACCATTTGGACCTAAGTAGCAACTCATGTTCACCATGTTTTCTCATTGAACAGAGTCAATAGTAACTATCTTCCAAGTAAACAAACTGTATTGGAAAAAAAAAAATTAAGAGATTTGTGTGATAGGGCACGCTAGAAAGACAGAGAGAGACAGAAAGCGAGAAATCACCCCCAGGAGGGATGGCCACACCACAATCCCTTCTCTTTCATTCTCCTCTCGGGATCTTGGGCATGCACGCACAAGTGCCTGGCATGAGTTTAAGCCATCGGGTCTGGGACTTGAAAATACACGGTCGACTGTATTTTTTCACTAAAATACCATGAGAGATTGAGTTGTGTTTATTTGCTTGCTAACCTTTAATGAGTGCAATCTAAATCTCCTGACATAGCCATTACGCCATCTGCTGGTCACAAAAAACAATTATCAATCATTGCTGATCACATACATTCTTATACACATAAAAAATGAAAAATGACATTTTTCACACTTTCCATTTACTTTTTTCCAGTTCAAATGTCAGCCTCAGATGTTGAGCTAGGAATGAGACCACTGAGTAGTGGACTTTTTTTTTGATATCAAATGACAAGACCTCATTATCCTTTTTTTTTTTTTTAAAGAGGTTTTTGCCACAAGGCATGTGCACTCGCCAAAGAAAGACGAAGACAGTAAGAGGGAAAGTGAGAAATCACCCTCCCCCCCAGGGGGAAAGCCATACTGCAATCCCTTCTCTTTCATTCTCCTCCCAGGGTCTTGGGTACACACACACACACACATGTACCCGACAGGATTTTCAGGCCACCATGTCTGGGACTCAAACCGTGGTTGGCCATGTGGGAGTCCAGTGACATAACTGCTACACCATCTGCTGGCCCCAAGGCCTTATTATCTTTTAATACCTACCCCATTAAACTGATATTACTGAAATAAGACTACACCACAAATGATCCTGTGTATTTTTCACTATCTCACACAGATCAGGCAGCTGGAAGGATGATTTATCAGTTGATACATCTTACCACCAAGGTGAGTGACATTAGATATATAGAGTTTTTCTATTTACAAAATATAACAATTTCAGTCCCCAAGACAAACTACTTTTAAAAAGAGTTAAGTAGGGAGCAGCAGGTGACATAATGCTTATGTTGTTGGAATCCCGTTTACCACAGTTCGAGTCCCAGACCTGTTGGCTTAAAATTCATGCCAGGTGTGTGTGCGCTCAAGGTACTGAGAGAAGAAAAGGAGAATGGCTCGTGGTGCGGTCACCCACCTCGGGGAGGGATTTCTTGCTTTCTGTCTGTCTCTCCAGCGAGTACACATGCGCCACAGCAAAAATCTCTTTTTTAAAAAAAGCTAAATAATACCGCCTGTGTTTGAATCTAATCTAAGTTCTGTTTCTCTTAATGGGAATAACATATTTGATTACAACATACAAATTTATTTTTTATCTAATTATCTGAAAACTTAAGACCACAGTATGTCTTATGTACGCTATATACTATCATGATAATTTTGAGTGTCTCTGAGTAATATGCCATTGATAGCTATTAAATCTATTTTTATATTGATTTACATTTAAAGAAAAGTTTATTTATTTCTCCCATAAACAAGAGACAGAGAGATGGAAGGACAGCCTCCCAACGAGTCTTCCTGCTGGGACCCACTCCAGCCTCAGCCAGCCCTGCATCTGGCCGTGCATACTCCTGGCATATACAGGGAGGTATGGGACTCAGATGTGAATTCAGAACTATCCCATGTGTGTCAGCCTTGCAGGGCTTTTTATCACTGGTTACAAAGCACAAATAAATTAATAAATTATATTATTTTTCCTTCTGATGATAAACCATTTATATGTAACCATGGAAGCATACTCAGGAAACTGTGGTTTAAAATAACTTTTCTTTCAGACAGGGTCTTGTTCTTAGCCAATGGGGGACATAGCTTTGGATTCCTCTGGGTACTTTATTCTGATCCTTAGCTATTTTTTCTTCCACCCCTACCCCCTATATTGGAAAGAATATGGAATGAGTTTGATTTTAGAGTATACAAACATGGCTTTTAATCTTAGTGCTAGCCTTGTATGTGAGAATAGGGGGAAATTATCTTCTCTTTACTTCAGTTATTTCATCTGGGAAATGTAGAGTGGCTGCCATTTTTCACAGACTTGTAGTAAAATTTTATTGTAATGGATCTAGAGGGCTAGCATGGTCCCTGGCACTTGAAGGATAGAACAGTGACAGGAACTGGTGAGGTTACATGCAAGTAAATTTTAGCACAATGCCAGGACTCCTGTGTGGGCTTGTATTTGTGTTACATATTTTTCATTTTTTATAAAGATTAAAAGAAATTAATGAAGCTTCTGGAATTCTGTTTCTGATGTATATATTCCCTCTGTGAACATATATGCTAGTGAGTCCAGAGCCTTTTAAGGATAAACACTCTCCCTATTAAATATCAAGGTTGAGATTAATATAATCAGACAAATAGCAGCTCTCAAACCCAGCAGAAAAAGGGAAAATTCCAGCTCAGTTTAGTACCAGCCTTATAGGCTGAGGCAGGAAGTTGTGACAGTGAGCCAATGAAAACGACAAATACATCGCACCACCATATGGAACTTCAGTTTGCAGATTGAATTCAGATGCCTTTGCTCAGTCCTTAACCCCTTGTTGTAATTCTCTTGCACTGTGGAAAGAAACAAATAAATCTCCTTCTAGAGTGAACCCAGTTCTTTTCTTTTTTTTTGATATCAAATGACAAGACCTCATTATCCTTTTTTTTTTTTTTAAAGAGGTTTTTGCCACAAGGCATGTGCACTCGCCAAAGAAAGACGAAGACAGTAAGAGGGAAAGTGAGAAATCACCCTCCCCCCCAGGGGGAAAGCCATACTGCAATCCCTTCTCTTTCATTCTCCTCCCAGGGTCTTGGGTACACACACACACACACATGTACCCGACAGGATTTTCAGGCCACCATGTCTGGGACTCAAACCGTGGTTGGCCATGTGGGAGTCCAGTGACATAACTGCTACACCATCTGCTGGCCCCAAGGCCTTATTATCTTTTAATACCTACCCCATTAAACTGATATTACTGAAATAAGACTACACCACAAATGATCCTGTGTATTTTTCACTATCTCACACAGATCAGGCAGCTGGAAGGATGATTTATCAGTTGATACATCTTACCACCAAGGTGAGTGACATTAGATATATAGAGTTTTTCTATTTACAAAATATAACAATTTCAGTCCCCAAGACAAACTACTTTTAAAAAGGGTTAAGTAGGGAGCAGCAGGTGACATAATGCTTATGTTGTTGGAATCCCGTTTACCACAGTTCGAGTCCCAGACCTGTTGGCTTAAAATTCATGCCAGGTGTGTGTGCGCTCAAGGTACTGAGAGAAGAAAAGGAGAATGGCTCGTGGTGCGGTCACCCACCTCGGGGAGGGATTTCTTGCTTTCTGTCTGTCTCTCCAGCGAGTACACATGCGCCACAGCAAAAATCTCTTTTTTAAAAAAAGCTAAATAATACCGCCTGTGTTTGAATCTAATCTAAGTTCTGTTTCTCTTAATGGGAATAACATATTTGATTACAACATACAAATTTATTTTTTATCTAATTATCTGAAAACTTAAGACCACAGTATGTCTTATGTACGCTATATACTATCATGATAATTTTGAGTGTCTCTGAGTAATATGCCATTGATAGCTATTAAATCTATTTTTATATTGATTTACATTTAAAGAAAAGTTTATTTATTTCTCCCATAAACAAGAGACAGAGAGATGGAAGGACAGCCTCCCAACGAGTCTTCCTGCTGGGACCCACTCCAGCCTCAGCCAGCCCTGCATCTGGCCGTGCATACTCCTGGCATATACAGGGAGGTATGGGACTCAGATGTGAATTCAGAACTATCCCATGTGTGTCAGCCTTGCAGGGCTTTTTATCACTGGTTACAAAGCACAAATAAATTAATAAATTATATTATTTTTCCTTCTGATGATAAACCATTTATATGTAACCATGGAAGCATACTCAGGAAACTGTGGTTTAAAATAACTTTTCTTTCAGACAGGGTCTTGCTGTGTCTGGACTCTCCTGCCTCAGCCTCCAAGTGGCTGGATCCCCTGTGTGCATCACCCCATTTGGCTTCTTCTCTTCCTTGAGGGGGAAGGTGGCCCAGATATTGAGCCCCAGCCTTCCATGTGGCCGCAGCCTCCTGGGTAACAGCATCTGCAGGTTCATGCTTCCACAGCTGGGCCTAAAATAACCTCACGTAGAAATAATACAAACTCTAGAAATACTGAAATGAGAGAAAGAAACACTGAGCTATTTTCTTTGTGTGGCTCTGCTGGAACATCTATTAATATAATCAGTTTAGCAATTATTTCAACATTGTGTATGCCCCTAGAGCACCAGTTAATATGATGCAATAGAATCATACTCTATTCAACCAATAAAATAATCTATACAAACTCAAATAATAATCAATTTTCACCAAGGGAATAAATTACATCTGTATCATTTGCATCTGATATCAATTCACTTCAGCAAACATTTAGTGCATACAGGGAGTCTGCTGTCTAACAGAATGCCATTCATGAAAGAGATGACAGTTTTTCCTCCACTTCCCAGTAGCTTACAGTCTATTTCTGAATCTTTTGAAATATATTCTACTGGAAATAGTCACATGATGTAATGGGAGAAAGAAAAAAAAAAGGGACTCATTCAGATTATTTAGGGAAGTCTTCTTGTAGAAGGTTGGATCTCCACTGAATCTTGGAAGATAAAAAGATTGGTCAGATGATGATGATAGGGTATTGCTACCAGACACAACATCGTGAATGAACGTGTGTTAAAGAAGCAGGTCATTCATGTATCTAGAAATATGAATAGCAAGTTCTAGTGGGGCACAAACACAACATGAAAATGATGGGATGTAAAATTACAGAGGGACGTGGTGGGTGAGGGGATTATATTTTAAATAACAGATTGGACCATATAGGCAATATAGTATCATTAAACTTGCTTTAAACAGGTATGTTATGATCAGATTTGCATTTTAGATAAAAATATGAGCAAAATGCTTTAAAATACTGAAATTCAATTAATATTAAGGGAATCAAAGAATCTGAGTCACAAAAATATTAACTCTCTAAACAATGAAATAAATTCTGTTCTAACTCATGAATGTGATGTGTTTACAAAAGCTACCCCTTGGGACCAGCAGATGGAGTAATGTTTACATCACTGGACTCCCATGTAGTCAACTGCAATTCAGGTCTTGGACTCAGCAACTTAAAACTCATGCCAGGTGCGTTTGCATGCGTGCCCAAGATCCCAAGAGGACAATGGAGGAGAAGGGATTGTGGCATGGCCATCCCCCCCTAGGGGGTGATTTCACACTTTCTGTCTCTCTGTCTCTCTCTACCTCTCTGGTGAGCACATGTACCCTAGAGTAAAAATCTCTCTCTCAAAAAAAGTACCTCTTATCTGGAATCCACCTGTGCTCTAACTTCCATATTTTTTGTTTTGTTTTGTTTTGCTTTGCTTTGTTCTTGAGGTTTTACCATAGGGGACATGTGCTAGAAGAGAAAGTGAGAAACCATTCCCCAGGGGGTGGCCATGCCACAATCCCTTCTTTTCCATCAGGATCCCCCTCAGGACCCCAGGCATTCATGCACATGCTCTTGGTGGGGTTTTCAAGCCACTGGGTCCAGGGCTTGAACTGCGGCAGTCAGCCTTGCGGAGTCCAACATTTTAGCCACTATACCACCTGCTGGCCACTCCTGTAGCTTTTCAAAGTGAATGATACCTTATTCTGTTATGAACACTGGTGGAGCTTCCCTCTCATCAGTGGCAGCATTTATCACAAAGTATTAAACTTATTTACTAGGAACAGCAGATGACATAATGGTTATGTTGCTGGACTGCCATGTAGTCGACTGCGATTCAAGTACTGGACCGGGTGGCTTAAAACTCATACTGGGCACGTGTGCGTGAATCCCCAAGATCCCGTGGGGAGAAAGGATGAAAAGGGTTTATGGCATGGCCATCCCCCATGGGGTGGGGGATGATTTCTTGCTTTGTGTCTTTCTGTCTCTCTCTGTCCTCCAGCAGTGCACATGCCCTATAGCAAATACTTTTACCCCCAAAATAAAACCTATCTACTTATCCACCTCTGCCAAGACTTCGTCTCCTAAATAAAAGTAGGAACCTGACTTCATTTCAAAATGCCCAAACATAGTTGATTCAAAATAAATGTTCACTTGGGACCAGCAGGTGGCATGGTGATTGGGGACGCTGGACTCCCGCATGGCCAACCATGGTTCGAGTCCCGGGCCTGGTGGCAACAAAGTGATAGAAGCATGAACACAAATAAAAGTGTCTGATCTTTCTAAAGAATACAACATTAAATATCTAATTTACAAAAGAAAACATGGGTAGAATTCTGGAATTGTTTCTTAGTTCTCTGATTTGTGACCTAAGCACATATCAGTTCTTACCAGTTCTAATGAATATTTATTGTACTGTGTTGAAGTTTCCCCAAAATGCATGTTTACTCAGAACCTCAAAATACAGCTTGATTTGGAAATAAGGTCTTTGCATATATAATTAGTTAAGGTAAATTTCCTACTAATTAGGACAAAAAATAATTACAGCCAACCAATGATTAGGGTGGCCTTAAATTCAATTACTAATGTTCTCCTAAGAAGGTCATGAGAAGATGCAGAGGCAGGGCACACGCGAGGTAGGACCCTGTGAAGCCAGAGCTGAAAGTGAGAAGATGCAGCTACGAGCAAGGATGGCCCTCCTCCTTCTGGGACCAGCGCCAGAAGCTAGGGCAGAGGTGTGGGACGGTGCCTCCCCCATGCCCTCAGAACAAAGCAACCCTTGATTTCAGACTTCTACCTTAGAAAACAAGGAGGAGATAAATTTCTGTCTTACACCACACAGTTGTGGTAATTTCTTATAGTGGTCATAAGGAACTAAAACATATACACCACAAGTACCTGCCCAGGCACAACGAGAGCTATGGGAATCAGAGAATTCACCGCGGTTCTGACAGTTCCACTGGAGAATGCAGAGATGCCATTGGTACTGCATGAGAGGGACCAAACATTGCCATTCTTTGCATTTTACTTCTACTGGTGCTTTTATTGTATTTGTGTTTATATTTTCAGTCTGCACCCATTTCTCACCGTGATCTGCATTGGGTGACATATGTAGGCATTATCAGTGAGTCTTCTAAATCACAGACATTTATGAGAATTACTTCAGGTGTATGTGTCCTGGCTTCTCAAAGCACTGATCCTATTCTTTCAAAGACTCTGGATGAAAACTGATTTAGTGTTTGCCATCAAATTGCCCACTATTTTATACAATACATTGTGTTTGCTTTTTTGTAAGATGAGTCCTTGAGTAATGTAGACAACAATGACTTTTAAAAATGATTAAACTGAGACTCCCTCCTTTTGCTCGATGCTGTCCCTCAGGTACAATAAGCAGATTAGTGTGGGTGCTGGGGGAGAAGGTTTACTGACTCAAAAGACAGGGGATGCAGCCTTAATTCTAAAAATAGCAGCATGCAGTTGTTTCAACTAAACTGGAGGGAGAACTAAATGAAGAGAGACTTAATTTAAAATGAGTTCAGATTCATTGAAATTGGAGTCCGTATTATATTCAAGATAAGTCAGGAAACAAAAACATTAGAAGCTCTAGAGATTTCAAAGCAGTGGCCTGGCACTAAACTTCTCCACCTGCAATAAAGTCCATTTCCTATTTTTAATTTCGAGAAGTCCTACGTATCTCAGGTGAGAACGTGATCAGGGAAGTCTGGCACAGAGGAGCCAGTAAGCACAAAGGAAATCAGGACAGGCACACATGTGAAACAGCATTCATGCTGCGATTCCACCCTCAGGAGTTCCACCAAACGGTGAAGAAAAGAAGTACAATCTCAGGGGGTCAGTCTGTGGCTCAGCAATAAAACATGACACCATTAACACACTCACACAGGGTTCTTGGTTCAAGTCTGGAGACCTCCCTGAGCTCACAGGGGGGACTGCCATAGCCCACGATCTGAACTGACAGGAGGCGAGGGTGGATCACATCAGGACCCTGTACAGGGTGCTTTGAATACACACAAATAACCTTTGTAAAAGAGGACAACCCATCTCCTAATCTGCAGTCTTAAGACAGATTCCAGATAAGCCATCTGAGGATTTCCAGAAAGATCATCTTTCTCTCCTGCAGAAGTGATCAAAGCCAAATTCTCCCTACTGAGACCCTAGGATACACAATACTGTTGCTCTCTGGGTGGGGATGCAGTTGATTCATATCTTTCTACTCAAAAGCATAGGATTCCTGGGGCTGGCAGGTGACATAGTGGTTAAGGGTGCTGGAATCCCACATGGCCAACCACGGTTCGGGTCCTGGACCTAGTGGCTTTCTTGCTCTCTCTCTCTCTCTCTCTCTCTCTCTCTCTCTTTCTCTCGCTCTGTCCCTCTCTGGACAAATTAAAATAAATAGGGACCAGTAGTTGGCATAATGACTTTGTTGCTGGACTCCCATGTAGTCAACTGTGGTTCGAATTCCAGACTCAGACTCAGTGGCTTAAACTCACGCTGGGTGCATGTGCATGCATGCCTGAGATCCCAAGAGGAGAATGGAAGAAAAGGGATTGCAGCATGATCGCCCCCTGTGAGGGGTGATTTCTTACTTTCTGTCTGTCTCTTTCTTTCTGGCAAGTACACGAACCCTATAGCACAAACCTCTCCAAAATAAATAAATGTTAAATAAAATAATTCTTTAAAAAAAGAGCATACGATGCCTTGTTTCACTGAAAGAAAAAAATCAAAGAAAAACATAAATGAATAAACTTAAACATTTTAAATAGATAAGTGATCATTATATTATCTGGACATTTGGTGTATTTAAAGAGATGACTATTCACTAAATTTTTGACAGTAAAACAGTTTCCAGGATGATTAAATGCTGATTTGTAAGCTAATTGAAAAAAAGTTCGAGATAGCCATTAATAAAATAATAAAATTTTTACGTTGTTTAGATGATAAAAGAATATTTTAAAATATTAATAAGTTGATGATTTGATTCTTCTGAGCTACTGTCTAATATAATAATCTGTAGTTACAGTATTTAAATTAAATTTAAAATCTAATAAATTAAAATTAAATAAAAATTTTAGTTTTCAGTTGT